TATGGCTCAAGTAATAGGGTCATTGAAAAGGATGAAGATTTGATTAAAATGGTTTGTATTTTGATGCTCTAATTATTGCTTCTGCCTTTTAGTTATTTTTCTATTATATATTTTGTGTATTTTAATCTAACCAATATTTCGATTATTGTCTTGTCTTCAGTTATTCTTATTTTTGTTTGCTTTCGACTTTGATTTCTTTGTTTTTCATAACATTTAATACTTTTAAGTTTAAATACAAAATTGCAGCTTTTGGATGAACAATGATGAGTGAACTACATTATAACAGTTTAAAAGTGTCACTGAAATCAACTAAATATACATTCTACATTAATTATATATATAGTACATTATTTTGATTCCTCATCAATATCAGTAGCAGCACATTCTTTCATTGATAGCACTGCTGGTACAGGTTTATAACCTATAGAGTGTGATTAATGAAATAATTTATTTTATTTTATCATAGCACACTTTCTTTAATTTTTCTATTCCTCATGTAACAATACAGGGTCACTGTCACAATGTGAAGCACTATTGACAGCAAAAGGAACACTCCTAATATACTGAGCAACACTATATTCATTGAATAAAAATAGCTCCAATAGAGTAATTTCATGCTTACCACTTGAAGTAGTTTGCAGTTCACTATAACTTTGAACTACATCATTAGTGGAACACACTGCAGCTGTGCTTGAACAAACTTGACTGACAGTAGAAATAACTAAAGTTTTTAATGCCATATCATTGCATGTAGTATAAAGAGAGACTTAGTACCTGTTGTAGTATAGGGTATAGTCACAACAGAGGGACATGTTCCACTACTTGTTGTAGTAGAGAGTGTTGTCACAATTGAAGAACTTGCTCTAGCACTGGTTACAGTAGAGGAGGACATAACTGCATGAATTATGAAGCATATAAAATAGGATGAGAAATTGAAACACTATAATAGTTCTTAGTATTATAATAATTTGTATTGTTACGGTTGCACTCCATTTATTTTTTAACAACAATGCATGCTTTATGCTCTATCATCAAAGCAATCATTAAAACTAATGTGTTTGTGTGTGTATGGTTTACCCATGAAGTATTGAATAGGAAGTGATAGGTCACTCTCTCCATGCATTGTCACTGCTTGTACCTATATTGGTATAATAATAAACATTAATTAAATACCATTCAGTAAAAAAAGATAATATAAAGAAGAATAGAAGAAGACAAAATGTGAAAATTTATATACTTACCCAAATAAAATAGTGACTAGAGAGAAGATTAATTTGACTCAAATCATATCGAAGTGTTGTACCATTAACACTGCCTCTAACAGTAGCAGTATCAGAATCATTGAACTCACTCACTAATATATTATAACGAAGGATAACACCATAAGGATACTGTGGTTCACTCCATGTAAGTACAGTAGGTTGACCAGTTGGTGAACTTTGTAATGCGAGTGGTTGAGGGCTTGAGGGTGGAGAAGACGTTGTCACATTAATTGAGACCTGTCTCCCTAATTCATTTGACATGTCCTGATCTGAGACCCCATTGTTTGATGTGATGGTTATAGTGTAAGTAGTCAATGGAGTGAGGCCCATTAGTTGGTAGAAGGTGTTGCTTGTATTGTAAAAATTAACAAACTTCCCATTTGATTGGTTTGTTATGTTAACATGATAATATATATCTGAACGGTTTCCATTGTTGATTGGAGGACCCCATGTAATACTGATACTAGTGGAATTGGATAAAAAGGAAAGAGAATGTGGGGGACCAGGAGGAGCTTAAAAAGAGAGAGGGAGGGAAAGAAATACGTAAGAATAATGTGAGACAGAA